CAGGACATGAGGTCCAACAGAGCATTCCTACAAGATGGTGGTAACATCCTTAGGGACATGGGATGTCCTTCTGAAGGACAGGAGACATCCTCAGGAGAAGGGGTGCCTAGTTCCGGTTACCCTTAAGGAAGGGAAGATCCAAGCCACCATAATCACAGGTCCTCTTGCCTATCTTGTCTCCAAGATCCAGTTTGCAGCAGGTCCAAAGTCATAACCCGTAAAAGCCTCCAAAATGTAGAAATACTGGTAGGGCAAGATCAGGGTGCCTGTGCTAAGTTCAAGAGTTTGGCTTTCATTCAGTGGCCAGGAGAAGCTAAAGAATTTTAAATATTGCTTCAGCAAGTATCCTACACAAGAACTGCACAACCCAAGGCTTAACTGAACAAACATTTTGTAACGTGAGAGCAGTGTTGCTTCACGGAGGCCCCTCAGCGAGGCCCCATTCCTTTACTTTGCATTTTGGAAATTCACAATTTGCCTGCACCAGGGATGGGTCTACAGCTTTCTGACAGTATGAAGCCCCAAAATGTCCAAAATATTTTCTGTTGACAGGATTCATTTCTGATGCAACACTTTGAGTGCTTGGAGCACTTCAGAATGAGAACCTTTGCCCCAAATCCATGCACTGCTTCTCAGGACAGGGGTTCCCTGGATTGTGTGGCACATGAGCACAAGAAAAGAAGGACTTGGCTACAAAGACCAGCCCTGGCTTTTGTGTGTTGGAGTAAGAAGAAAATCTTTCCATCTCAGTCCAGGGCCTGCAGAAGCCTGAAGGCTACTTGTTGAACGTCCTGTGATCTGTGGAGGTGGAGGTGGAGGTGGAGGCGAAGGTGGAGGTGGGACCAAAATACCAAACTCACCAGCCTCTTTCAGCTTAAAGCTCTTGCTGCCTACAGAGGAATTTTGGGGACATCTTAACTTTCCAGAATACAGGAGAGGACAGCAAGGAAACCCACAGAGAAAAAGGGAAAGGATCCAAAGGAAGAGGGCAAGTCCATCTAGCAGAATTCTCATAGGTCCAGTTAGGAACGTCAGAGGGCTGAGTCTGGCCCCTGGTGAAGAGACAGCCCAGGGACTGCACAGCTTTTGTGAGGTCAAGAGATCTTACCACCGGTTCCCATTTAACTCCTTTCCTCTCTAAGCTGCTTTTGGTGACCCTGGCCAGAATAAGAACTGGTCCATGCATCACCTTGTTTTCTTTTCCCCACCCTTTCCATTTTTTTAACATATTCCACATCCTGTATTTTAAATTGTGGCAAGGGTATTGGACGGGGGACCCAGGAGAGCTGAGTTCCAGTCCCCACTCAGCCATGAAGCTCTTTGGGTGACTTTGGGCAAGTCACAAATTCTCAGCCAAACCTACTTCACAGGTTCCATGATGTGAGAATAACATGGAGGTGTTTAAGCTGCCTTGGATTCTCTGCAAAAGGAAACAAGGCAGGATAGAAATGCAAATACAAATAATAGTGTTAAATCTTTTGGAAGCTGTAGTTGGGCTGTCATTGTTTTATAGACATTTTCTGTGCTTCTCAGACCGTTTGGGATTTAGCAGGGCTTCCTCATTGCCTTTGAATGCTTTGTTTTTCTGCACTTCTATGTGCCAGAAGCTTCTCTGGAGGCCAGCCTCTCGCTTTTCAGAGACCCTGTTTTTCCTTCCTTTGTTGCAGTAACCGCCATCAGGTTAACTACTGAAAGGAGAAACTTGTGAGCTGAGAAAAATGGAGTCCCTGCATTAGAGAAATGCTGTTAAGATCTGGTTTTCTCTCTTGTTTTTCGATGTTTTTCATTGTGGCTTCTCACCAGTTTGGAATGGTGCTCATGAGAGATAGAAAACAGGGCCTGGGGCAAGTCAGATTTCAAAACAGACAATGAAAAACCGAGGCTCGGCTCCGCTCCCCACTGCAAAGTCATTTATTTGGCTTGGACACTTCCTCCCCTCTCTGTCCTGACCCCTGTGGCAAGTTTCGGGACCTGAGCATGATGCAAGAGATGTTCAAGCTCTGTCTAGAGGAATTAGCTATTTCATAGGTGTTCTCTACATTTCCTAACTTCTGCTGAATAGTTTCCCCTTTTTCTCTGCTGACCAAAATCCATGATGTAAGAAGCATTATTATGGTTTCCCATTATTCCCTTGACCCCCTTTTCTCTCATTTTTATTGACACTTGGTTCCAAATTAGACCATATTTGTATGTATCTAGTCCTCAGAGAGGTATGCTGATTTTGTAGTTGGGACAACTTATGAGGATGGGGAAGAATGCTGAATTAACACTGATCCGGAAGCACACTGGTGCACGGCTGTTGATAGGGACTGAAAAGGGCTGCACAAACGGAAAGGAAATGTGGACGGGGAGAAGAGGCATCTGATTTCAGGAAAAAAAGCCTCAACAATATGATTTGCAGGGTTGTAGCAAGAAAGGGCAAAAAGCCAGGCAGTTGAGAGGGATCAGAACCCCAAGGAACTGACTCCTGTTTTTGGTCACCAGGAAAAAATTTTATTCTTCCAATGCATGTTGCAGCACTGCACTGAATTACAACAGAGGCAATCAAAAGATCTGGTGAAAGAAGGGCGTTTTGCTATACAATAGATCTACCTACTGGTACTTTCACTGGGAGACACAACAATGGAGAAACACATCTTCTAAGATCTAAGATTCTCCCCTGTTACTTACACTATTTCCTTTCAAGAGCAAGATTGCCAGCTGACCAGAAAAATTCCATTCCAGCCTGCTGTTGTGCCATTAGAGAAAGGTAGATGCACAGATACCTCTTCCCCCACATTTATCCAGGAGAAACATACGGAAAAAGTGATAGTGTGTGTTCAGCTTTTGTTGAAGGCAAAGTTACAGCAACCTCCCGCCAAGTGAGCAAACCAACCCAAGAGGAGACCAAAGGAAAACCAGTTTCAGTGTGAACAAAGGGGAGATTCCAGGGTAAGAATGGATGGAAGATATCACATTAGAAGAAACAAGGGTGTGGTTGGCAATTATTTGCAGAGCAGGGTTGTCAGCCAAGCGATTCCCCTCCCCGCATCCTCAAATTTGCTCTTGCCCAGCCTTAACAGCAAAGCATCTGACTGGGGGTTTGGGCAGTGGAGGGGGGGAGTGGGAAATTCTCTTTTCTAGATTCCTTCTTGCCCCTTCCAAGTGTGGGTTATTTGACCTTCATTAATATGGAAGAGATGCCCCATGTACTTGGAGTCACACGCCATCAGCTCCCTTCTTCCTTTTCTGCCAACAAATTCCCTTTCTCACTGCCCTCAACCACAGGACGGCATTCAATGTGGATAAGTGCAGGTCTTGCACTTGGGGCATAGGAATGGGTGTCATGAGCACAGGTTAGGGGACAAGTGGCTGGAGAGCAGCACTTGTGAAAGGGACCTTGGGGTGCTGGTTGACTGCAGGCTGAACATGAGCCAGCCGTGTGATGCTGTGGTCAAGAGGGCGAACGCCACCCTTGGTTGCATAGCCAGAAGCATGGCTTCTAGATCAAGAGAGGTATTGCTGCCACTCTGCACGACTCTGGTGCGCCCAGAACTGGAGTATTGTGTTTAGTTCTGGGCCCCTCATTACAGGAAGGATATAGCCAGGTTAGAGTCAGTGCAGCGCAGGGCCACAAGGTTGGTGGCCGGTTTGCAGGGGATGCTGTATGAGGCGAGACTGAGGAAACTGGGTCTCTTCAGCCTGGAGAAGAGGAGACTCAGAGGGGATCTGTTGGCAACATACAGGTATGTGAGGGGGTGTCACATGGAGATGGGCAGAGACCTGTCCTCCCCTGCAAAGGAAGGCAGAACACGCCCCAACAGAGCAAAGCTCAGGGAGCCAAGGTTCAGTTTGGATGCCAGGAAGCACTTCCTGACAGTCAGGACCCCGAGGGTGTGGAATGGGCTTCCACGGGAGGTGGATGAAGCCCCAAAGGTGTGGGTGTTCAAGGATAGGCTGGACGTCCACATGGTGGGCATGTCATGAGCGGAGCCGGCTGGTCAGACTAGTTGGCCCGAGAGGCCCCTTTTGACTCGCTCTGTTTCTATGTTTCAAAGAAATTCCAAGTGGACTTTTTGTGAAATTAGACACACGCTTCTTAGCCCATTAATGCAGGAGGCATTCAGCTTTGCACGAAACGAGTTTGTTTCAATTTTTTTACACAAACCCTTTCTTCCCCCACCCTGTGGACTTTTTCTAAATATATTTTTGCACCTTTTATAGGCACAATTTAGAAAAGAAATTCTGCCTGCTACAATATTTAATTTCCAAGGCAAGGAAATTATTCTGAGCTGCCTGCTCACACAGATCCTGTTGGTTTTGCATCAGTATTTCATATTGGGAGGGTTCAACAAACAAGTCCTTTTCATTATTAAACCTCTTGATTTACAGCTTTATAGGTTTCCAGACTTTTCCATGTACTTTATTTCACTTTATCCTTTTAACACTGCTGGTTTTCCACAAGCACTTTCCTTCTGTTTAACACAACATCGTACTTTCTTTGGTTCCGTTTTCCTGATTTTCTCTTTCTTTGTGCGTGTTCTCTATAGTGTTTCCCACCCTCCAAAGAAAGATTCCCAGTTATTGTTCCATCACATCTTAGATACTGGAATTTCCTGCTGCCGTTTTCCCACCAGTCAGAACCAGCAAGGGGTGGGGGAGGCAGAAACACACAGAATTAAGGGTGCGTCTGAACCTGAGCTCAGCCTAGGAATTCGTATTTCAGACAAAGATAAATGCAGGTCTCCTTCTTCCTTCCGTTTCAGCAGCCTGAATTTACAGTGCCTACAGAACTGGGCAGTAAATCCCATGTAATTCTGTTGCAAAATGCCTTACAATCTACCAGCAAACCACAATTTACCTTCTGCCCAACCTACTTTCCCATGTGCAAGATGAAAAGCCTTGGAACCTGCCAGGTCGTGCAGGTCCAACTCCTGTCAACAGACATGGTTCATGGACCTGGAAAGTGGTCGGCCCCCCTTCACACTGCCTGCCATCACAAAGAACCACAACGCCATGACTGAATGCAAAGCTGTTTTTATTTTATATTCTTCCACACTGTGCCAAGTGAAACCATCTCATTTAACTCCGAATCTCCCCTAGCCTGCTTCAGCCCTTGTCCTCCTGCACCTCAAAATGCATGCATTTTCTACTCTTTCAGAAAGCCGTGTCTTTATTCCACTACTCTTTTCTTCTTTGTCATTTTCTTCTTCTTCTTCTTCTTCTATTTCCCATCAGGGCTTCGTCTTTCCCACTCAGATCACTCTGTGTGCAGTTTCTCGTGGGTTGCCTCAGTGACTTGCCCGATCATGACCATAAATTCTTTGAAGGAAATCTCCTGGTCCTTGTTTTGGTCCAGATGCTTAAACATTTCCTCAATACTGGTTGGGTTGACTTGATTCTGTTGGAAAGACCATCAGAACATCAGAAGAAGCCCACAGGATCTGATCCGGAGTCCATCCACTCCAGCCTTTAGGTCATACAGTGGTCAAGCAGATGCCCACAGAATCCCATCAGCAGCACCCGAGAGCAGAAGCACCCTACTGCCCATGTTCCCCAGCAACCTGCGTGCATAGGCAACCTGGAAGAAGCATGTAACCATCAATGACTTAATCGCCTAGTCCAAGAACTTGTAGGGAAGAGAGGAAACCAAAAAGTGCTCTGTCTAAAAGGTGTCCACTTAACATGCCATGCAAAAGAGGCACGTCATTTAAAAAGACACTGCTTTAGATACAATTGACATATATTAATATGTCTTATGGAAGCAACGTTAGAAAGAATACCTAGAAATAGATTGCATCGCACCACTGGGGAGAAGATCTTCCAATTTTACCGTAAGACCCTCCAGATGCTTCCCTCTATGGACCATTGAATTATGCCGCAACTCACTTCACTATCTCTACAACGTTATTATATTCTTTATAATATGAAGAAATTCTAAATGTCTTTATAATTTTCCATATGTAGTAACAGTTTATATTTTAAGTCTTGAAAGAATGCTGTATTTAAAAATCTGGGGATGATGTCTTTGCTGTTCTTTTCATTGCTGTTTAATTCTATTCTTTACTGATTGGTTTTAACTCATTCTTCTATGAATAATACATCTAAGCCCCAGAGGCTGAACTTTCAAGGACCTCTCTGTGGTGTTGAACCTTTCCCCTGACCTCGGTTCAGTACCATGAAGAGTGCCATCCATGTTCAGAACTTAGCTGCAATGAACATGGCAAAGCTGAATTTGCTGAGAGAGGCAAGCGGGCGCTTTCGAGGGGAATTTGGGGGGTCTCCTTGGGCTGAGCAACCTGGCTCCCCAATTCCTTTCCCTCCTCTCAGGGGGAACATATGAGTTCCACTTGCTACTAAATTTTGCCTGGTGTGAAACGCAAGATGGCTTTGGAAGGTCCCACCCTTTGGGCTGAGCCGATTTCATATGTGCGTCCCCTGCATATAGCTATCAATAGAGATGACAAGTTCAACAGAGATTACCCTCACAGGTATGTGTGTATTGTATTCATATCCCACCTTTCTCCCATTGTAGAAATCAAGGTGGCTCATGCAGTTCCCAGGTGGTCTCACCTCCACCCTCAAGCCAGCTCCAGACCTGGTTACCTTCAACATGGACTTTATGTGCCTTCAGACCATACTCTGCAACAAGGAACCCAGGTCCCTCAATTCACACAGACCCTGAAGCTACTTCCACACAACCTCACACTGTGCTGAATCTGTTTCCATAAGACTCACCTTCAGGAACTCTGCAAGCTCTTTCTCAATCAACTGCTTCAGTTCTCCATTGTTCAGCTTGTCTGGATGGGGTTTATGGGTGGAATACTGGTGGAAGACATTAATGACGGTGTCAAGAGCAGTCTCCAATGGACTCATTGTTCGGGGGACCTGGTGGAGGAAGAAGAGTGTTTGAAGTTTGGGGTTGGGGAAAATCTTGGTCCAAACATCACATCAGACTTGTGAATTAGTATGGTAGAGAGATGGAGGAAAAACAAGCAGACAGACCAAGAGAGAGATAAAGGCAAGAATGAATGAATGAATGAATGATCAGATGCTCTTGGATGCTCAGTACAAAGTAGAAATTATGGCACCACAACTAGGAAGGTGGGTCCTCTCCAGGTCTTGGAGACTGGGCAAATACAACATGTCCTTCTGGAGTCAACCAAAATAGACAGACGGCAAGATTTCTTGGATCTCACTTGCTCCCTCCTGATTTCAAAAGCTTTTGGACACTTCCCCATGACTTGAAGGCTTCTTGTCTGGTACTCTTGTTGTCCGAAACACCCCAGTTATTCACACCATCTGCAACTGGACAACTCGATACGTCTGTCCCAAATAGTAGATCCAAAGCTGCATAAGCCATCTAAACACGAATTCACATATGGTGCACACCATTGTCCGAGATGCCCTGACCAGTATAAAACCAGTTTAAGATTGCATTCTGGCATTTCCCTGGGAGCAGGTCCCAAAGAACATTTACTTCTAAATAAATGTATGGAGGATCATGCCAGAACACTACAATTCTCTGCACAATTACTTGGGTGTAAACTCTGCTGAGCTTGCTGAGAAAATCTGGATAGTATTGTGCAGTCAAGGTGCAATTAAGTACTCCCTTACGAGTACTTGCACGCAAATCTCCTAAAACTGGGTTTGCACACTGCTGAACAGAAGACTGCATGAGTGTCAGGATCTCACGTACCTGGTCTCTGAGAAGTCAAGGCGTCTCGCACTGTGGACCAAACAAACCCAGAAGTAAATTGGGTTGGGATCAGGGCAGCTTTTTATACCCTCTCAAGAGCCCTTTAGTGGATTTTGAGATCATCCTTCTCACATGATAACCATCACCTGTCAATACACACACTTCTTACCTAGCTCAAATTTTTCCATCAGCCTCATAGAATCTGAGCAGAAGAAATGGTCACCTTTACCCCACTCAGCCAGCCTGGAGGGAGGGAAATATTTCAGAGTGGACTTCACTTCTGCATTTGGCAGATGTTCTAGAAACCATGGAAAAATTCCAATGTAGTTAAGTCTCTCTAGGTTTTGCACTGTTCCGCCATGCAGATTCCACAGAGAAGTCTCCATGGAGCTTCACAGAAGGTGAAAGGACCTCTTCACAGATTCAAACTAGAGGATTTCCTTCCACAAGACGCAGTGATGGGCATCAATTTGGACAGCTTGGAAGGGGGATTGGAGAATTTCATGGGGAAGGTTATCCCTGGCTACTAGTCCTGATGGTTGCATGCTACCTCTACTAGCAGTTGCTGGGGAACATGGGTGAGAATCATAGAATCATAGAATAGTGGAGTTGGAAGGGGCCAGAGGGCCATCAGGTTCAACTCCCTGCTTGTGCAGGACACTAAGTTACACAATTCCACAACTCTCCAAATATGTTTTGAATGTCTCCAGTAAGAAAGAGCCCACAACTTCCCCAAGTAATAGATGCCATTGTCATACTGCTCGGAAAAGTGAGGAAATTCTTCCTGGTGTCTAGTCTAAATCTGGATTCTTTTCACTTAAGTCTGCTATCCTGTGTCCTGCAGCCTGGGATGGATGAGGAGAGACTTGTCCTTTCTCTATGTAACAGCCTTTCAGGTACTTCTGGAATTATTTATTTATTTATTATTTTATTTTTTTGATTTATATCCTGCCTTTTTCCTACAAAGGGCTCAAGGCAACTTACATTATCTCTCCTCCTCCATCTTATCCCCACAGCAACAACCCTGTGAGGTAGGTTGGGCTGAGAGGCTGTGACTGGCCCAAAGTCACCCAGTTGGCTCCATGGCCGAGTGGGGACTCGAACCCGGATCCTCTGAGTCCCAGTCCCAGGCTCTAACCACTGCACCACACTGGCTCACATATCTCCCTTCAGTCTCCTCAAGGCTGAACATGCGCAGTTTTCTGAATCTTTCCATGTAGGACTTTGCCTCCCGTCCCGGAATCCTCCTTGCTGCCCTCCTCTGTACCCCTCCTAGCTTTTCTGCCTCTTTTTGGGTGTCCAGAACTGGGCACAGCTCTTCAGCTGAGGCCTGACTAGAGCTGAGTAAAGGAGAACTAGCACTTCCTGTGTTTCAGAATCGGCACTTCTGTTTTACTCACATCCTGTTCTCCCTGGGAAAGCAGCTGGTCGGCCACTTGCTGGGCCTTTGGCTTAATCCAGAAAGGCTCTTCTGATGTATTTATGTGAGGAATAGCTCATGATCCTATAAAGAGAAAGCTCAGCTCGAGCGACCTTCACTTAATCCAACCAAGATCTTATATTCTTGGAACTTTTTAAAGACCCTGTCCATCCTCACACGCTGTCCCCTTGCCAGTACCAGCCCCCATTACCATTTACTGTAGGGCAGAAAGTCTTCTTGATCCGCCCATGATGCAGCACTAAACAAAGCCCCGGAAGATGGCATCCTATCTGTCCATGATACTAGGAACAGGTTTGGGCCCATCTGATTGAGGTTCTCAGTTTCCACCTCATTCCACCTTATAAAGTTGGGGTTGGGTTCGAGAGCAAAACACCTGTATTTACTTCCATGCATGGTTGCATAGGAAAACCCCCGTGGACTACGGTGTGTTTGTGCGTATTTTAGAAATGAGCATGTTGTAAAAGTAGGTGCCCGTTTCTGCCTAGATCAGACTTCCCTCCACATGCTTTGGACTACAGCACCCTTGCTTCCTGACCATTAGCCATGCTTACTGGGCCCTGGGCCTGATGGGAACGGTACTCCAAACAACTGGAGGACACAAGGTGCGAGAAAGTTTTAAACCATTCTAAACAGCCTGCTGGCTTCCTTCCCTTGGAGTCCACTTTTTCTGGGCACTGGAGAAGGGCAGAGTTGAACTCAGTAACCTTTTAATTTCCTTCCAACTTAGATTCTAAAACTCTGAATTTAATTTAATTTTATTTTATTTTTGGAAAAGCAGAATCCCTAGGGACAAAATTGGACTGTTTGCTGTGTGGGAAAAGCTGTGGAAATGTGGCTTTTGCATTGCTCCTGTTTGGTTGCAACTGCCCTGCCCAAAGATTGAGATGATGGGTGCCAGCAAATCCCACGTTCATGCCATAAAAGGTAAAATGTCTTCTCAGCCACCTCCCCTCTGCCCCCTGCACCTTCTTTTGTTTGTTTCCAGTAAACTTTGCACAACCTTAGTTTTGAAATCTTATCTTTAGAGCTAGCGAAAGTTCAAGAAATGGGGGAAGTAGTGGCCGGTCCCCACCCCACCCCTTCTGCCTATCAGTGCTCAGCAATTCAGGTAGCAGCTGGGGCAATCCCCCCACAACTAAAATGCACCTCTTTGAAGTCAAAGACTTCAATCCAGTGTCCGTCCAGCTCTACTTCTACCATCTTTTATTTGGAAGGAGATGAAACTGATAAAAACCAACTGCAGTGAACTTGGCTTTGGTTTCTCCGAGATGGCTGTTTGCAGAAGGATTGGAGAGCAATAGAATAGACAAAATTCTTGCTTGCTTTTCCAAGCTCCCCCTCTCTTGGTAATCTGATTTAAATAATGGAAATGTACTGGACGGGATCCCCTGATAAGCTCTTTTCTCTGCCTGGGGGCTTGTGAAAGCTGGCAGCCTGGCTGGGCTTGCAACCACTTGCAGGAATCAGGAGAGGGCATTCATCCTGCAAGACACAGGATGGTCCAGACGAGGATGCCTGGCTTTTCCACAGTAACTTGAGTCTTTGCATCCCGTTCCAGCAGTCCCCTCCATTCCTGTGATGCCTTGGCCTACGCCTTGCCTCCTACCTGTACTGGACTCTGCCTTGCCTCTGGTCCTACCTACCACTCCTGCGCCAGGTATTTGACCTTCCTACTTGCCTGTGCCTTGCAGTGCCTTCCTGGATGTCTGACCCTTGCCTGTCTTGGCTTTGCCCTCTGCTTCCGGCCCAGTTTTGCCTTGCTGGTGTCTGACCCTGGCTCATACATGACTCTGCCTTTGCTTCTGGCCCTACAGCAGCTCCTTGCCAAGTGCTCCTTCCACCTCCCTCGGCTCTGGTCCTGGCACTCCATTTGTGGACGCCTGCTGCTGGTGTCCTGGGACTGACGACAATGAGAAAACAGCTTTGAAGACAAAGTTTTTAAAGTACTGATTTCTTTACCACTTACTCTCTTGGAATAGAAGAAAGTTGAAAGGCTTAAGGAGGGGCAGTTCCTTTATGCTGCAGATCCTGTACTTTTTTTTAAACCAAAAAAACAACAATGCACACTATTAGCCACAGAAAGGAAACCTAGTTCCAGCATGCATATCTTACCTAGCTTAATTAAAATCCTGGAGTGCAGTTTGCAATAGGGACCACAGGAGGGCACCCAAGAGCCGTTCCTGGTTTTTCCCTGGGCTAATTGGATGCCTGGGACGCAGTACACAATAGTGGCCACAGGAGGGCGCCCAAGAGCCGTTCCTGCTTTTTCCCTGGGCTAATTGAATGCCTGGGTCGCAGTACACAATAGTGGCCACAGGAGGGCGCCCAAGAGCCGTTCCTGGTTTTTCCCTGGGCTAATTGAATGCCTGGGTCGCAGTACACAATTGTGGCCACAGGAGGGCGCCCATGAGCCGTTCCTGGTATTTCCCTGGGCTAATTGAATGCTTGGGTCGCAGTACACAATAGTGGCCACAGGAGGGCGCCCAAGAGCCGTTCCTGGTATTTCCCTGGTCTAATTGAATGCCTGGGTCGCAGTACACAATAGTGGCCACACGAGGGCGCCCAAGAGCCATTCCTGGTTTTTCCCTGGGCTAATTGAATGCCTGGGTCGCAGTAAGCAATAGTGGCCACAGGAGGGCACCCAAGTGCCAGCTCAGAGCCTTTCCCTGGACCAATTTTTTTTTGAATAAGTTTTATTTGAAATTATAATCCTAAAAAAAAAAACACTACAAACAACATCCATCATTGAGCCCGCGGGATCAGCTCCCACACCCTCCTTCTTCCATTTAGGATACCTTTAAAAACATATTTAAATCTATGCGAAGTCCCGTTTCTCTAGCCAATATTTTAAAAAATCCCAAGTTTGATAGAAGTCAGTATCTTCTTTCTCCTTCAATGATAAAGTCAATCTATCCATTTCTGCACAGTCCAGGACCTTTTTTAGAATCAATTCGTCAGTGGGTAGTTCCTCACTTTTCCAGTGTTGAGCAAATGCAATCCTTGCAGGTGTGATTACATACAAAATTAAATACATTTCTTGTTTGCTAGTGCCCTCTGGTATAATACCTAATAAAAAAGTCAGGTTTAAAAGCTAAGGATTTTTGTAACATTTCCTCGAGCCATTTATGTATTTTAATCCACTACTTTATCACGTTATCGCAAGTCCACCACAAATGATAAAAAGTACCCAATTTATGTTTACATTTCCAACATCCAATTGACATATTTGGAAACACCTTAGCTAATCTATTTGGCGACAGATACCATCTATAAAACATTTTAGAGAAGTTTTCTTTAAACGAAGTTGCTAATGTTACCTTGATATTTCTCTCCCACAGCTTTTGCCACTTTTCTAATTCAATATTATATCCAAAATTTTGTGCCCACGTTATCATAGTTTCCTTAACCTGTTCGTCTTCCATTTTCCTATCAAGTAAGAAGTCATATAATCTTTAGTCTTTCCCTGGACTAATTGAATGCCTGGGTCGCAGTTCGTAATACTGGCCACTGGAGGGCACCCAAGCGCCATTCCTGGTCTTTTCCCTGGGCTAATTGAATGCCTGGGTCGCAGTTCGTGATAGTGGCCACAGGAGGGCACCCCAGTGCCAGTTCTGAGCCTTTCCCTGGCCTCAGGCTGCAGGGCCGTGTTACATTGCTTTATTTTTAGATTATGCCAAAAAGGTTCATTGACTTGACATGGCTTTATTGCTTAGATTTATATCCTGTTTTTTCCCTTTCACTAAAGAACTCAAAGCGGCGCACACCTTTCCCCTCCCCTGTCCTCAGACTTATATCCTCGACAATCATGACAACCCTTCGAGGTCTGTTGTGCTGAGAAGCTGTGACTGACCCCAGTCGCACCCTCGGCCCCACAGCTGAGCAGGAGCTCCAGCTCCAGCGAGGGCCACTGGAGAGCACGCGAGTTCCAGCACCCGAGATTTAACTGGCAAAGGGGATCGGGACGTTGCAGCCCCCCTATTGCGGGCTAACGGAATCGGGAGCCTCCCGTTCACACCACGGGCTGCTGGGGCAGCCCAGTTCCAGTGCTGTGGCCTCAACTGGCGATGTACCCGGAGCCCTCAACTTGGCTTCAAAACAGACGTTTCGTGCGACGAAAAGCGGTCGGCCAGCCGCAGTGCGCAGTACCGGCCGCACGAGGGCGCTGCACTCGCTGCACGGAAACCCGCCATGGGGCGTTGAGGTCCGCGGGCGGCTGTGCGTAGTCCCGCCCCGGGGAGTCCTGATTGGGCCCATGGGGTCAGGAGACCGCCTTGCACGGTACTGGCCGCAGCGGGTCACGTGGTTTCACCGGCGGGGTGTTCATTCGGCCGAGCGGACGGCGGGGCCGGGCTTTGTTCACGCGCTGCCGCGGCCGAGGCTCTCCGGGCGGTTTGCGGCGTCCCGAGCCGGGGGCTCGGCCACCGAGGGGCCCCCCGTTTCCTCGCCGATGCCTGGACTGGGCTCATGGGATCGGGAGGCGGCAGTCGGCGGCGTGGAGCACAGCGGAGCACGGCGAATGCAGGTGAGGTCTTGGCTGGGTCGCAGTTCGCGATAGTGGCCACAGGAGGGCGCCCGAGCGCCGCTGCGGGTCTGTTTGCTGGGCTGATTGAATGCAGGCGTCGCTTTTCACGGTATTGACCCATCGTAATCTCCGCGCGGGGGTCTTAGGGGGGGGGAATTGCTGCAGCTCCCAGGGTTGGCCCCCACCCCAGGGCACCCCGATTCAGCTGTGAGGTCCGGAAAGCTCCAGTGAAAACAGATGCAGTGCTTGGGGTCCGCCCCCCCCCCGCACGCAGTTGAAGGCATCCCGCTAGTTGATTCTGCAACTGGTCGATCGCAATGGGGAGGTGCCGGAAGGGCTGGGCCGGGTGGTGCTAAGGGCAGAGTGCCGTCCCTTGGTCTGGGTAAGGAGATTCTCGGCTCATTAAGTGGCAAGCTGTATTCTGACTGAGTTTCCAAAACCGGGGCGGCCGCGTTCGTGCTTGCAGAGGCACCGCTGCTCTGCAGGATGGCCTGGCCCTTTTGGCCAAGGTTTTGCCCTCGGATTGTTGGGTTTCCAGCAACAAAACAGTGAAAGAAATGCAAGTACTCTGTTTGTCAGCTGTGGAGGATAGGAATAGTTGTCACACTGGGGCTGGAAGAAGCTTCTTGGAGTGGAGTGATGCACAGCAACTAGAGTGTGATGGGACTGTTTGCTTTCCTGTGACGCTGAAGGCTGCCATGCTAAATTTTGCAAGTCACTGCAGAATATACTGATTTGACCAGCAGTGTAAAGGAGAAAGGGCAAGCAGCCCCAGTGTTCACAGCAATCAGTATCTGCTGATCATTTACCTTGTTCCCCACTCGAGCTTATCTTTCTGCCTTTGATGGTTCTTTTAGAAACATAGAAACAGAGCTAGTCAGAAGGGGTCTCCGAGGCCATCTAGTCTGACCTCCGGCACCAGCTGGCTCCACTCACAACATGCCCACCATGTGCATGTCTAGCCTATCTTTGAACTGATGGGGCCTCACCCACCTCCCGGGGAAGCCCATTCCACACCCTCCGGGTCCTAACTGTCAGGAAGGACTTCCTGGCATCCAAATTGAACCTGGGTTCCCTGAGCTTGGCTCCGTTGGGACGCGTCCTGCTCTCCTCTGCAGGGGAGAACAGGTCTTTACCCACCTCCACGTGACACCCCCTCACATGCCTGTATGTCGCCAACAGATCCCCTCTGAGTCTCCTCTTCTCCAGGCTGAAGAGGCCCAGTTCCCTCAGTCTCGCCTCATACGGCATCCCCTGCAAACCGGCCACCAACCTTGTGGCCCTGCGCTGCACTGACTCCAACCTGGCTATATCCTTCTTGTAATGAGGGGTCCAGAACTGAGCACAAGACTCCAGTTGCGGGCACACTAGAGTCGTGTAGAGTGGCAGTAATATCTCTCTTGATCTAGAAGCCACGCTTCTGGCTATGCAACCAAGGGTGGCGTTCACCCTCTTGGCCACCGCATCACACGGCTGGCTCATGTTCAGCCTGCAGTCAACCAGCACCCCGAGGGCCCTTTCACAAGTGCTGCTCTCCAGCCACTTGTCACCTAACCTGCACTTATGACACCCATTCCTGTGCCCCAAGTGCAAGACCTTGCCCTTATCCACACTGAACGCCATCCTGCTGTCTCCTGCCCACTTCCAGCGCCTGTCCAGATCCTTCAGGATCCAGAGACCTGCTCCTTTTCCACTGTGTGTTTCTATCAAGTACATGAGAAGGCTCTATGAGAGATACAGGGAAAGGATTTTATTATTCTTAGGATGTACAATGACGAGGCAAAGGTGCCCTTCTTCTCTTGCGTGTCATGTCAGGTTCCCCTTTTTGTCATGCCGGGGATCCATGCCTTCCGCGAAGGACTCACTGGCCAGGTTTCCCGGGTCCGTGGCCGTGCCCGTGCCCGTGGCTGTGCCCGTGCCCGTGGCCTTCATCCAGGTTGTGTGATCTGTCGTGACCCTCATTCAGGGCAAGCCCCAACACACAAAAGAACTCTGTGAATTTGAGGTACCCAGTCTTGTCCTTGTCAGCTTTCTCAAATAACTGTTTTATGTAACCATCCTGGTCGAGATTGGGCTACAAAGGAAACAAAGAAACAGAAAAGAAGCCAAAAAGGACCTCTGTGTTAGAAGCATGGAACAGGCAGGATGCCAGAGTCAGATGCCTTTTTGGCCGCGTTTGAATAAATAACTGGAATAATATTTCACTGGGCATTCCTGTAGTTCCTGCTGCCCGCTTCTTGTCAGACATGGAAATTAGAGCTCCAGGAAGCGGGCACTTCCGCATGCTGGAAACACCAGAGTTCCACATGCAGAAGCGAATTCTTTGAAAACCTGCAGCTCCAAGTTGGAGAAATCCAGAACTGTTCTCACTCTTGCAGCCTAGTTCTTGGCACATCCAGAACCTGGTGCTGTGCAGGTTTTGGGGTGCACACGTCCTTGTGACTTAGAGGATTCCCCAGTATTAATAGTGAATAATAGTCCAAGTCGGGTCCTGTCAGTGCCACATTTCCATGCGCCTTGTGTCCTTTGAACCCTAAACAAAAGCCAGGGCTGACACAGCTCCATCATCAGGCATCAAGGGCGCCCCAGGTCGCCCGAGACAGGTTGCTGCTTGGGGCGAAGAGTCACCTGCCCCACCCTTTCTGTGAACAAAAGCCACCTGGAGCAGCGGGTGACTCTTCCTTGGGCACGGGTGATGAGTCGACGTCTTTCTCTCAGTTGGAAGGCAGCTGGCTAGCTGGGCCAGTCACGCTGCACACGGTTCTTAGCTCTCACGCCTCCTGCCGCCCCCCCGCAGCTGCCCGCTGAGCGAACCGCTTCACCCCGTCTAATGGAGGGCTGCCCCTGAGACCAGGACCATGAGATGCGTGTGGAAGCCAGGCAGGCTCAGGTGGAAGCCGCCGGCGTCCTTCTCTCGGGCCAGCCGGCTTCCCCCTGGACACTGTCCCCTGTGGCTGTGCTTCCACGCCCTGACTGCGTCTCTGGTGGGGACCTCCCTCTGCAGTGCCCTGAGAAGCCCCCTCGATGCTGGGCCAAACCTCCCACCATCATCAGCCAGCACAGCCACAGGCCAGGCATAAGCGCTGAGGCCAAGCACCCTCTGAGGGCCCCCCTCCCTCCTCTGCCCCGTAACTTCCCGGCCCTCCCTGAGACACTCACCGGTGTGGTGCTTTTCAAGAAAGGTTGTGCTTGCTCCTTCATCAACTTGCTGAACTCTTTCAAATGTAAATAGTCGTCTACGGGGTCCAGAATGCAGTACTGGTGGTAGACGTTCACCACACATTCCATGGCCTGTTCCAGATGAGTTTTCATCTCGCCGAAGGTTTTGGAGGACCTGGAAGAAGGAGAGAGATGTTGAGAAGGAGCTATGGATCAATGAGGGAGGGTGAAAGGAAGGGAGAGGAGAGGAGAGGAGAGGAGAAGGTCACCCTCCTACTACCTCCTAGATCAGTTTGGAGTAGAGAGAACTGGGCTGTGATCATTGGAAGTAGAGCTGTCCTCTCATTAAGGCGGCTTGGTGGTTCTTCGTAAGTTGCTTGGCTGCACTTCCATCAGCTCGCCCCACTAAGCCTCATGGCTAGGGCTGAGCCAAGCCACCGTCCCCCCAAAATCTGGTGGGCCACAGGAAACCCGTGCTCAAAGAAAACTTGCTTGAGGAATAAGTGTCAGACTTATGGGAAAGCCATGGCAGGGTGGGGGGAATGGCAGTCGCTCGATCGATCAAGGTCAAGCAAGGGAAAACAGGTTTTTAATAAGAAGTCGATGCCAGGCAGACGTTGCTAAGCGGGGAGATGAAAGCATCAGTGTGCCCTCCAGGAAAATCCTATGTAGCCACCTGCCTCAAGGTACGCAGCCCCAAGGTAAGGGTACCTGGCGCAAGAGCTCTGTTGAAACAGGGATGAATCAAAATGGGAACAGCAATTTCAAAGCTGTTTGTCTCACACTGAAATGTCCTGCTTCCATTAGTCTGGGTTTGGGTGAATGAAATCGTGCAAACCTCGCTCTTCAAGGATGCCTTATTTGGAAGACAATTCAAAGGTTTGAATGCCATATGCCGTATTTGGGGTGGGGGACTGGAAGTGGACAGAGCAACACTAGGCATCTCCACCCAGAATTAAGCTCCACTGAATTCGTGGGACTTACTCCTGCACAAATGTACGTACAAAAGAATGAGGAACATTAATCAGCAAAACCCCAGTGAGATAAGATTTCGACACCAGAAGCCCCAATTAATGACCCAGCCATGGAGTTTAGAATAGCTTCCACACTGATAAACTTCCAACAACATCCGCCTACATTAAAAAAATATATGTCAAGAGTTTTGGGAGATGAATGCTTGCGTCCATATCAAGGTATCTTGTACAACACGCCCTGTGAAGAGATCTCTTTGAAGTCTCCTCTGAGAAAACAGCTCTACCCAAGAGCAGGCTCTGACCTTCTGTGTGGTCAAGGCACAGAGAGCAGAGGGTTCTGGGAGTTTTGCGGTTCTGCTCTCTGTCTCCTCGGAGGAGCGGTCTTCCTAAACTCACATTAGACCTCCCAGCTCTCTGCCCCTCAGTTTTACCACAAGTTAGAATAAACAGTGGGGTCTGTGCAAGCAGAGTAGGATTTTTGGGGTGGGGTTTTGGCCGGGGGTAGGCGGCAAGGTGCGCATCTATCAGGCTGTTTGGGTTCGGGGTGCCAACTTCCAAGCCCAGTCAACCTGTGGCTCTTCTCCCTTGCTGCCTCCCGTCATTAACTTCCCCTCTGCAACGCCAGAGCAAAGGAAAGAGGCAGAAGCAACGGGCTGGGGCAAAAGCAAAGCCGCGAGGAGGAGGCAGACATGGGCCCCCGCTGGGGGCTGCCCAAACTCTGGCGTCCAGAAAGCCCCGGGAGAAAAGGTTAGCGGTGAACTGTCATTTGCAAGAAAGGAGGGTTGCTGCTTAAAGAAATTTTAGCACAACGGAGATGTATCCTCTGAGTCATTTTTTCCTATATGGAAAAACAGGTCTGGCCCAAAATAAGAAACGATGGTGCCCCCCCTTGCACAAAACCAGTTGTTTGTTCCCAGGGCACAGCTGCACTCGAGCTTGTGGCAAGCGGCGTCTGCTCCCCTCCCCTCCCCTCCCCTCTGCCTCCAGCATCCCTCTGCCTCCAAGTGGCTCATTTTAATTGCGGAGAAAACCACCCGACAAAACCCAAGGAAAAAAGCTTTGACTTTGTCTCCACCCTCCCTGGCACCTCTGAACATCCTCTTGGATTCCAAGCTAGATTTGATTGCTTTACTGCTGCTTTCTGGATCATTTTAATGAGATACGGACTTACCCAAAAGGTTCCAAGGAGAACAGGAGCTTGGAAGCGAAGCAGTGCTGATGCCGGTGTTCGGAGACGCGTGCTTTTATACGTTCCTGGCCATGCAAGTCTTACACTCACCTCTGGCATCATTTTATTCTTCCTCTTCCCCACTCCACCCCCAATTCCTCCTGTTGAGCAATGTTGAACAGCACCTGGCACACCTACATGTTCAAATCAGTGATGCTTTAAGAAATGCTTCCACGTATCTGGCAGGTGACAAATCAGAATAATGGTAGCACCTCCCAAGCACTTTACCATAAAGTCTAATTGTCTTGTCATTTTTTTTTTTTTTTTATGGAAAGGAATATGATGACAGCTTTGGGGATTGAGGCCAGGATGCAACCTGGATGCACGGAAGGGGGAGTGAACCTACCTCCACTCCAAAGCAGCTGTACCTGCGTTCTTTTGCAAGCCTGTCCTGCACAGCTTGCTCACCCCAGTTTCACAAAGCAAAGAAAATCCCCCAGTCTGTGCAACCTTCCGGCTGCCTGTTCCTTGAGATCGTGAGATGAGGGCGTCCTGGGGGTCCCATGGGCCACTGAGGGCAGCCAAGGGAGGGCCTTATCTGCTGTGGCGCCCTGTTTGGGGGAGAACCTTGGGCTTCTCCTTGCTGCCCTGTGAGACAGCCGTCAACCCTGGTGGTCCATGGGCCTCCATCCTGCAACACCCCGCCTAGATCACAGAAGGTTGCAAAAGGGCCGGATGTTGGCCTCCATCCAGCTCCCCTCCAGGCTCATCTCTTTCTTCTTTTCGCAGAAACTCCCATTCAAGAGGGAGGAACAGAAGAGCGAGGGACAGGTGCCTTTGGGCTCACAGTGCTAGGCGTTCCCTTCCTGGGATCACCTGCACAAACACAGGGACAGCAGGTAAACTGATGGACAGCGGAACGGTGTCACCATCATTCTATATATATCGGGAACATTCTTCAACATACCAGGCACACTTAAGACTGTCATGCAAGGTGGGGGATGGGCGCCCATTGAGTAGCTTTAAAAGGCAAGCAAGCATTTGAAAAATGCTCTTGCATTTAAGACATTTTATGCTGCTTTTCCACGGGGACCGAACCCAACAGAGAGGTCGGGAGGGGAGCGTTGGAAATCCCCTGGTGCTTTGAACTTTGTGCATGGGTGAAGCACAGTGGCACAAGCCCTCAACTCCAGCCTGGTCATCAACCAGCGGCTTCTTGGATCAGGTTGCCAAGGCACCCATCTTCCTGGGGCACACGACAAGATTCGGAGGCCTGTGACCGAAGTCTGTTCTTGTAGCTTGGTGTGCGTCTTGCCTGGAGCACGGCAGGGACAAGTCGTTGCGTGAAGACAGAGCTGCCGGGCGGGAAGGAGCAGCTCTTCCTTTGTGAGGGTCCTTGGAAATACCTGCCATGAGCCAGGTGTCCCTTCCCAGTGAAGGCAAGCACTTCGGTAGCTGCCCAAAGAGTCTTTATTCCATACAGCTACGAAGTATTCACAAAACACACTCCAGGTAGAAAGTTGGCCTCTCACTCTGACCCTAGTCCCCGCAAGCTTTGCTTGTGAACCCTCTGGGGCCAGTCTCCGGAGGGGGTGCGCTATCCCACTGAGTTCCAATCGGCCCAGCCGGCAAGTGCGTTGATGGGCCCGAGCATCCAAATCCCCCCAGGAGCCCCCCCAGCCTGTTCCCTGCCGGCTTTTTTCCCACAGTCAGGATGTGAGGGGGCTCTGTGGTCGTCCTTGCAGCGCTTTGACCCTGCGCTGTCCCAGGCTGGCTCGCCACCTGGAGCCTTTCTAGTCTCAGCTCCAATCTCAGAGTGAGAACTCGGCCTCAGCCTTCTTCTGAGCCTAAGCCATCGTTCCCACCAGAGCCCTCGATCTCTCGTGCGCGCCTGGGAATCTCCTCCGAGCGCATGTGCAGACAATATCGCCCCCTTGGGCCGTCTCCTTCCTCGCCGCCGCGGCCACGAGCCGCTCCTCCTTTCTGAGCTGCCCCTCGTGGCTCCCACCGGCTTCCTGGACAGGCAGGGAGTCTGGCAGGCCAGCCATGGCAGCTCCCGCTCCGTTGCCTGGCCAGACTGGCCGGGCAGAGAAGCATCTGGAGGTGGCAGCAGGGGCTTGACCTGTCCTCTCTCGGGGGCAGCTCTTTTTCTGACCCTGCCTCGCCCGCGCAAATGTTCTTCACTGGGTAGCCATTTTATTTCTGAGCAAACTCAAAGCTCTTGAGCTTGAAGAACAGGTTGCTTCCAGATTCCCCCCCCCCTCCATTTTCTCCCTGGACTTTGAAATTCTGCAGTACTTTGTCTTGTGTTTTAGCGACCCACCTGTACTTTGAGCTGCATGCTGTCCGTTACGGCGCAATGAGCAGCCTTGGTGCCGTTGTTCTTATTGTGCAAGGACAGGTTGGACATGCACATGGTGGGCATGTCGTGAGCGGAGCCGGCTGGAGCCGGGGGTCAGACTAGATGGCCCGGGAGGCCCCTTCTGACTCGCTCCATTTCTATGTTTCTAACTCCTCAGGACATCTTTTCTTAGTGTTTGACCAACCGGTTGAAGGACACATGTTCTTCAGCAAACCACCACAGTCAAAAGCACTGAAATGCAACGGGATGGATTATTTTTTCTTTTTGCACTGTGTGAACACTGCCATGGATGTTTCGGTGAGGCAGAAATGGGAAAAGCTGGGAAGGAACCAAAAGGGGCCTGGGAGGAGTTGCAGCTCGATGGCACCGTGTGCATCTGGAAGCTTGTCGTTTCAACCCCGATATTTTAGGCATTGTTTAGTCAGGGAGGATACGGTCTGTGCAAAGAAGGGCCAAGTCTCCGTTTTCGTCATCCCCAGGTAGGGCTTGGGAAAGCTCCATGCCTGGGACCTCAGGACGCCCTCTGTGGGCCCTGGCGGACCTCGCCGAGCCAGATGGGCCAGTGGCCCGCACGACCTCCTGTGTTGCTGGAGCACCTTTCCCAGCCATGGCATCCATTCGAAGGCCTGATCCTACCGGTGCTTTGGCACCACCTGAGGAGACAAGGCTCACTGCATGCCCGTGGAGTGAACCCGAGGAACAGTGAAAGAGCAGAAGAGAACAAAGCACTCCTCCCTTGTCTGTCTCTCTGTCCGTCCGTCCATCCCGTTGAACCACTCCTGCGGGAGCCATGCCAAAGGCTGAGCTAAGCGATGAATCGCGCCTAATATTCTTTCTGGGAAGGAACTCCCCTGATTTCCCCGTGGGCAAGTTCCAGGTGGGGCAAGCTCCTGCTCCAAACCTGTTATGGAAATCCAGGCCTCAGAGTGGATTTGTCTATTACTTTGTATTTAAAAATATACAGGACTATCTGGACAGCAATATCATTTAGCCAGACAAGCAAATACCAAAGGGGACGCCACATCTGGGTGCAATTCATCTGAAAACAAGGACATCACCTCTTTTGCCTGATCGTGGCATGCAATCGATCCTGAAGCAAGCTTGCATCTTATCTATCTGTCTACCTTGAACGAATATTTCAAACTAAAGAATCTTCTTAGTTTGCTTAATCCTTCCATTTTTCTTTCATAATACATGATCTTACGCATTGATACCCAGCCTTTTCTCCGGCCCCCTCCCCTGCCCAATTGGGATTCGGTAGAGGCAGTCTGGGCGAAACGTAGGGGTTTTGACAGGGAAAGAGACCTGACAGTGGGGGCATGTTATCGCCCTCCAGGTCAACTTGAGACCCTGGATGATGTCCTGACAGGCCAGATTCTAAGGATATCTCGGGGGAGAGACACAGTAATTATGGGAGATTTCAATCTCCCGGATATTACTTGGGAGACTCACTCGGCGGTGACAGCCAGGTCATGTCGCTTCCTAGAAGCTACTGAGGGAGCGTTTTTCACACAGAGGGTCTGAGAGGCGATGAGGGGGGGAAAACATCCTTGTCTTGGTCTTGACCAATAGGGAGGAGCTGATAGATGAAGTACAGATTAGGGGAGCGAGTGATCACTCCATCCTTTGCTTTGAGATCAGGGGACTGCGGACGGGCAGCAGGTCGAGCACTAGAAGCTGGGACTTCAAGAGGGCCAACTCTGGCCAACTGAAGGCCAGACTGGGGAACGTCTCCTGGGATGGGTTACTGGAAGGCAAGCGAGTTGAGGAGGGGTGGATGGCACTCAAAAGGGAGCTTTTGGAGGCGCAAGCCTTGACGATACCTCTAGTCAGTAAGGTGGGGAGGAGGAGGAGAGTGCCGCCATGGATGAGAAAAGAGGTGGTTAGAGGGATTAGACAAAAGAGAAACCTCTGTAGGAAATGGGTACTGGGGCAAATAGACAAAAGAGTATACCGGGGGGGGAGGAGGCCCATTGCAGAAGGATTCTTCGCAAGGCTAAGGCTGATTACGAGCTGAGACTTGCCAAGAATATCAAGAGCAACAAAAAGGGCTTCTTTCAGCATGTAAATAGGAAGAGGAAGGGGAGGCAAGTGGTGGGACCACTAAATAAGGAGGAAGGAGATCCAGTGACTGATATGAGGGAACAGGCACAGATGCTAAATGACTATTTTGCCTCTGTGTTCTCCCCAAAGCAGGACGGGGGAGATCTGCATAGGAGATTAGACGAGGCTGGGGACTTAGGGGCACAGATTAGAGTCACCCCCCTTGAAGTCGAGGGGCTCCTCAGGGCATTGGACATTACAAAGGGGCCAGGCCCTGATGGGTTACACCCGAGAGTACTTAGAGAGTTGGCAGGGGTTCTCTCATGTCCGCTGGCCTCCATTTTTGAGACCTCGTGGAGAACAGGTGAAGTTCCAGAGGACTGGAGGGTGGCATCAGTGGTCCCAATCTTCAAAAAGGGTAGTAGAAAGGACATGGGGAATTATAGACCGGTGAGCCTTACATCCATTGTAGGAAAAACAATGGAAAGGCTCATAATAGAGAGAGATCTAGTGATGCTAGATAGGGAAGGGAGGCTGGCAGCCACACAACACGGCTTTCGCACAAACAGGTCCTGCCAGACAAACCTTGTGGAATTCTATGACAAGGTTTCGGGATGGCTAGATGGAGGGGATGCAGTGGATGTGGTATACCTGGATTTCAGCAAGGCCTTTGACAAAGTGCCCATGATATCCTGGTGGAGATACTGAGGAGTTTGGGGATACACCAAAGCACTGTCCGGTGGATTAGGGCATGGTTGACTGACCGAAAGCAGAAGGTAACCATTAACGGGGAATCATTGGGATGGCGGCCAGTGACAAGCAGGGTCACTGGCCACCCTGTTTAATCTTTTAAACAGGCCGATCCTGTTTACTCTTTTCATTAATGGCATGGAAGAAGGGGTGAACAGTCTGCTGATCAAATTCGCAGACAACACTAAAACTGGAGCAGTGGCCACAACTGAGGAGCAGGTACTCCAGATCCAAAAGGATCTGGACAGACTATGGAAGTGGGCAGGAGACAACAGGATGGCGTTCAATGTGGATAAGTGCAAGGTCTTGCACTTGGGGCATAGGAATAGCTGTCATAAGTACGGGTTAGGGGACAAGTGGCTGGAGAGCAGCACTTGTGAAAGGGCCCTCGGGGTGCTGGTTGACTGCAGGCTGAACATGAGTCAGCCGTGTGATGCAGTGGTCAAGAGGGCGAACGCCACCCTTGGTTGCATAGCCAGAAGTGTGGCTTCTAGATCAAGAGAGGTATTACTACCACTCTACATGACTCTGGTGCACCCGCAACTGGAGTATTGCGTTCAGTTTTGGGCCCCTCATTACAGAAAGGATATAGCCAGGTTGGAGACAGTGCAGCGCAGGGCCACAAGGTTGGTGGCCGGTTTGCAGGGGAAGCCGTACGAGGCGAGACTGAGGGAACTGGGTCTCTTCAGCCTGGAGGAGAGGAGACTCAGAGGGGATCTGTTGGCGACATGCAGGTATGTGAGC